TTTTCAGAAGGCAGCCTGAGTATCCCTTCTTTTTTCTAAAACCCACAAAATTCATCTTCTCTACATACATGTGAGTTGATCTTTACTTTGTAGGTTTTGGTTTCTGAAGTAGCTTTACCTTAATTCCACTGCCAGCAGTATTTCTCAAACAGAAAACAAAACAAAAACCCCACCCCACATATCCTTTGGCTTGAAGCAGAAAAACAAAGCTAACAAAAGTATTCCTAAGCTCGGGCCTTCAGTTCTTAGGCTGTTAAAACCACTGGTCCAGCAGTAAGAAAACAGCCTGCATGGTATTTTGTGGTGTGAACACTGGGGAGGTGGTAAGGAATCCACATATTAAAAAGACTAATGTGCTTAGTGAGGTAGTTTCTTACTTTCACTGTTTACCAGGAACAAAACATGCCTGTAGATCTTGGGTCTGCATAAGCAATGTGAAGGAAGGAGCTTGCCAACTACTACTTGCTGTATTTCAATACCTTTGATGAACACAGTATTAACAAAACATAACAAAATAAAAGGGGGGTACAGAAGCAAAATATAGAGCATGTATGACATAGTTAAAGGAAATGCTGGGACATTTGTGATATTTTCTCTTAAGAATTTTATAAACTGTTGTACTTCAAAAGTTAACATAAATCTTTCCAGCAACGGGAAATGCAACCACTAAATTTCTTGAGTTACATGTTAAAACCAGAACAAAGCCCCTGTCCAACAAAGAAACACAGAGCTGAATGGAAACACTCATGCTCTTGAAGATAAGAACACAGTTTAAGCACTTGCAGAATCAGGCTGGAGTTTTACTACTTGTAGGTAAGATGAGGTTTCAGTTAACAAAAGCTAACTGAACAACCAGTTTCCACACAAATTTCATTTGAGAGTAAAAATTACACTTGAAGTTTGTGGACCTGGATGCACGGTCACACAAACTGGAGACAAAAAGCACTTAGTTACAAGGTTTTTTTTAAAGCTGTCAGCACAAAATCACAGAAAATACACCCACCATTCAGAGATAGTACCACTTTCCTGTGGTAATTTCTCCTATATAGCACAGCACTTTTCCCTGCCAGATGGGATTAATTTTATTTCTATAGGAGACCTGAAATTGAATTCACTGCCTAAAGATAAAAATCTCCCTTGGTAGGAATATACAATTCCCTTCTCCTCATGTTTCCCCCTCACCAAAAAGTGAACACAATTTTTTCTTTCTCCAGTCTCAATCATTGATAGGTAAGGAAAATGCTTTTGGCACCACTTCTGACATTAGCAAGTAATAAACTGTGAACTATAGCAATTTTGTGAGGCTGCAAAAAATATTTTGTCTTCTGTGAGGCTCAAGAACATAAGTGAAATTGGACAAAGATGAGTTACAGAGCTGCACAAAGGGGTTAATTTATTCCTCCTGCATTTTGTTAGTCTCCTTTGACAAGAAGTATGGGTGACCTTTGAGCCAAACCAATACGTTACATCCAATAAAAATTTGCAATACAATGAAGATCCTAGCATATTTAACATTACTTTTTGGCTTTTTCCTGCATGTTCACAAGTGACAGGAAGAGAAAGGTAATTTAATGTTAAAAACAACAAAGATGCAGACAAGATAAGGAGGTGATGCCCAGGAATACAGCAAAGCAGAATTGCAGTGGCAGTGCCAGGAATTACATAAATGATGAAATGTGGTCAAAACAAAATACAAAACTGACCTTAAAGAAAGGACCAGAATAACTTCACATTTAGCAGTTTAAGCTATATAATCTATAGAAGAAGAAAACAGAGCATCAGAGCAATTCTCTTCCATATTAACATCTCCCGTGATTGATCAATAAAATATCAACCATAAATAGAGCAAGACATTTACAGCCTTGTGCAGCCCTGCTTATGACATGAAAACAATCAATTTAAGAGTCAAGAACATGTGTGTCACAACTATTTCTCTGTGACACCAAAAGCACAGTTTAAAAGCTTTTGCCCCAGTGTAAGTTACTATGTGAAGAAGTAAAAAAAAAAAAAAAACCAACCAAAAACCAACATATAATTTCTTTTAACTGGCATTAATTTTAGTGATATTCCTTTAGTTTGTGCTTCTTAAAAACAGAAAGTAAGTATGATAAGAAACACAAAGACAAGAGGTATACACATATAACAAAACACTAACAAAGACTTCTTTACTTACATAAAATGTTAGTATTTTTAAAGTTTTCATAGAATTTAAGGGAAGCAGAAATACCAAGAACTATGCAACCCAAATTACTATAGTATAAAACCACTTAAAGATGCTGAATCACAAAAAAAAACCCAAACCAAAAACCCAACCCCGAAACATAACCACAATCAAGTCAGACCATAAAAGCACTGGTGACAAAGGCAAAGCCCGGAGTGAAATAACAGTACTCAAACCAATGTCAACGTTCAAAACCCTGAAGATAGAAAATGCTGAAATAGAAAGCAAGGTGCTTATTAGATATAACATTCAATAGGTTGAAACCCACTTCTTTCCCTGCATACAGTTCTTTTTAACTGCAAACCTTCAACAGCTGCTAAGTATGATACAGACACATATTTGTAAGAACTTCAAGATGTTTTTCTAACAGTTGACCCTTCAAACATAGAAGACAAATAGCCCTAAAAGCTACTTTGGAGCAACCTGCTGAATCTTGCTCCAACTGGTGCACTCTTGAGATCTCTCCTTTAGAATCTCTGAGGATATGCTAAGGAGATGAGGATATTCTCTTGCAAATAAACTACTGAAAAGGTGAATGGCATAGTGACATGTAGGAGATAACAACCAGCTGCACCCTAGTGAAGATATAACCCCACAGCACTCCCCTTCCTGGCCACATGCTAACTCTGCACAGCTTTGGGTGGTAGCTTGCTTCCTTGGCAATCTGATTCAGTTTGCTGAGCCATCACATCACTAACCTACACAATTAACAAAAACCACTTTGTGCCAGTTAGCAAGCTGAACTGCTGGTTAGCAAGCTGAACTAACCCGTGGATGGTTAGAAGAGAGAGACAGCACATAGACAGTGCTGGCATCGCCCTTTTAAGCCAGAGCAGAGTTAGATTTTCTCAATTATTTCCTGGAACACCAGTCCTGGAAACAGAAAGGAAATCACAGAATGGCTGAAGTTGGAAGGCACACCTCTGGAGGTCATCTTGTCCAACCTCCTGCTCAAGCAGCGCCACCTAGAGCTGGCTGCCTACGTCCATGTCCAGACAGCTTTTGAATATCTCCAAGGATAGAGACTCCACAACCCCCCTGGGCAACCTGTGCCAGTGCTTGGTCACTCTCACAGATAAAAAGGATGTTTCCTGATACTCAGAGGAAACCTGTGTTTCAGTTTGTGGCCAGCCATTGCCTCTGGTTCTGTCACTGGGCACCACTGAAAAGAGCCTGGCTCTGTCCCCTTTCCACCCTCCCATCTGGTATTTATGTGTTTATAAGATCCCCCGAGTCTTCTCTCCTCTAGGCTAAACAGTCCCAGCTCCCTCAGCCTTTCCTCATATGTAAGATCCTCCAATCCCTTAACCACTGTGGCCCTTCACTGAACTCGCTCTAGTATGCCCATGTCTAATCTTGGACTCAAACCTGGACCCAGCACTCCAAATGTGGCCTCACCAGAGGTAGGTAGTGGGGAAGAATCACCTCCCTCCCCCTGCTGGCAACACTATGTCTAATGTAGCCCAGGATACCATCAGCTGCCTTTGTCACAAGGGCAATTGGGAGGAACCTCTCCACCAACAGACGGGAAAAACACACGGAAAAAGCCAAGACGTGGTGAGAGTGCCACATCCAGATGCTAGCTCTGGCTTACGTTCATCAGTTCCCATATCATGGGGATCAAGCATAAGCTTTTCAATGGTGAAATGAAAAGGAATTAAATTAACAGTTCAGTTGGAAGGGACCTACAACAATCATCTGCTTCAACTGTCTGACCACTTCAAGGCTGACCAAAAGTTAAAGCATGTTATTAAGGGCACTGTCCTAATGCGTCTTAAGCACTGACAGGCTTAGGGCATTGACCACCTCTCTAGGCAGCCTGTTCCAGTGTTTGACCACTCTCTCAGTAAAGAAATGCTTCCTAATGTCCAGTCTAAACCCCGCCTAGGGCAGCTCTGAACCATTCCCACACATCTTGTTACTGGATACCACGGAGATCAACACTCCCCTCTCCCCTTCCCCGTTTCAGGAAGCTGTAGAGAGCAACCAGGTCAACTCTCAGCCTCCTTTTCTCCGAACTAGACAAACGCCGTACCCTCAGCCGCTCCTCACAGGACATGCCTACCAGCCCCGTCTCCAGCTTTGTTGCCCTCTGTTGGACGCAGCCAAGTACCTTCACATCCTTCTTAAACTGTGGGACCCAGACCTGCACACACACAGAACAGTGGGAGGCCGCACCAGTGCTGAATACAGTGGGATAAGATTCTCTTTTGACCAGCTGATTATTCTGTGTTTGATGCACCCAGCCCCCTGGCTGCCAGGACACATTGCTGATTCACACCGACCCTGCTGTCAACCAGCACCTCCACCTCCCTTCCTGCAGAGCTGCTCCCCAGTCTCCCACTTTATACTCGTGTGCTGTGGAAACACATGCGTATCACAGCCGTACCACACAACGTTTCGAACATCAGCTACAGCCTATAAAACAAACGGGGGTTAAGAAACCGGGGCTGGGAAGGCCTGGTTTCGGCAGCGGTGACCTGAGGGGATCCAGTATCTAAAGGGAGAGGGAAGACGGCCCTTAGGGGAGGGAAAACGCGAGGTAATTTAAGCGAAAAGGATTAAATGTCAGGGCTGGAAGAGGACGGCCGTTAAACAGCAGCGACACTCACAACGCCATCACCCCCGGCCCCGCCACCCCATACCGCCGCCACTCACCAACCTCCAACACCTCTTCCGGGTCGCGTCGGGCAAAAGGGAAGGCGTGCCGCTATCCCCCTCCTCCCCCTTCCCAAAATCCTGGCGCTGCCAGGGTAACGACGCCACTTCCTCCCGCGAAGGGCAGGTAGCTGTGCGGCCATGGGCGACGTCCACCAGGTGCCGCGGCACCGCATCGCCACCAGTCACCTGGCGCAGTTCATCGGCCAGCCCGTCTGCTTCGTGGGCCGCGTCGAGAAGGTCGGGGTCTGCTTGGCGGTCACTGCTGCCCTTGGGGGCGGTTGGGGTGGGGTAAGGCCTTGCCCAGGGGTGCACTCCCGCCTGGGGCCTTGCGAGGGGACGCTGTGGCCGTGCCTGGTGCAGCGGCCGCTGTCCTGAGGGAGGCCGCGGCTGCGGGCAGGCCCGGGGGTAGGGCGGCAGGCGGTTGTAACGGTCTGATCTTCCGGGAAGAGGCCCTCCGCGCCGGTCCGGCTGGGGCGGCTGAACCGGTAACGCTTGCAGCCCGCCGCCCTCTGAGAGCACGGGCCTCGTGTCTCTTCTAGATACACCCGACAGGGAAGCTCTTCGTGCTGTCGGATGGGAACGGAAAACACACGACCGTGGAGCTGAGCGACCCTGTAAGTTCAGGAATGCCGTGGAAGTACTTGATGTTGCCTCTTGTGGATCCCGGAGGTTTTGTCCCTTCTGAAACCTGTGCAAGCCTTAACATGCATTGAGTTTTTAGTCAGGAAAAAAAAATAATGCCTGGTTTCTGCCTTTTCCAACTGTTTCATTGCCTCTTCTTACATCTTCCAGCTTCCATGCAGTATGTCAGGAGCCACCTTGGTCTTCATCAGCTGATGTTGAGAGCAGCAGCTCATTCCTTGTCAGACACATCCCTGTCTGCTAATTTGTCTTACTGTGTTCATTGTTTGCAGTGTCATATATGCCACTGCATGTATTAGCTTTATTTTAATTTTGCTTTTTCCTCCCTTTTTCTTATTGCCTTTATATGCCTAGCAGATTTTGTAAAGATAATCAAGAAACCCCAAGAATATGGTTTTCTCATGAGTATTTTGAGTTGACATTTCTATATGCTTGTGTAGCACTTGCCATAGCATTCCAGTAAACTTCATAGTTAGCTTGAGGCATCCTTAATGCAGTGGGTATAAGATATGCTGGCAACTACTGCAGAAAAATACTGCTTCCTTTGTTACCACATACCACTTACTAGAGGAATAACACCCTGTTATTGTCTTTACGGGTTTTTTTTTGTCCCTGTAACAAACGTTGTAATTAAGGGATTCATTTCATTGTGATGGTAAATGCTTTAACTGAGCATGTGTGTGGTCTTTACATCATTTTCTCTGAATAAGTTGTTAAAGGCTGAGAAATCGTGCCATTCCCATGTGAAATAATTGCACATGGTACACTCTGACGTCCAAGATGCTTTCTAACTTCTTTTTCCCTTTAATAGATGCCTTTGTATGTATGTGTCACTCCTCCTTTCAAAAAAAGAAATACAAAATTGTGGGGAGGAGAGGGAATCTATTGCTGGGTGCCAGGAGATTTGCTAGAAAATTAAAAGTATGTGTTAGATATTGGAAGAACATTACTGAAATAGTACCACACTCTTAAAATTAGAATCTTAGAAAAGAAAGAAAACATCTTTAAGCTATACAGTTTTGGAACAAGGTTAAAGTTTTAGCTGTTTTGTTGGGTTTTTTCTTTATTTTCCTTGTTCAACCAAAAGCTTGTATTGTCGGTATCTTTGTATTCTGAACACTCACTGACAGATTACTTCAGAAATAATTTCCCATTATACCTCTTGAATCTGGAATACTGGAACTGCTCTCTGCAGTATATGATACCTCCTTACCTCTTACAGAGTTCTATAATTTTGTCAGGTTTAAATGCGGGGCATTAAAAACTGTATTCTGCTGTCTTCTTCAGTCTCTCTTCAGCGATTAAATAACACTTCTATATGCTTATAAACTGTTATCTTCCTTCTGATGCTTCTTTGTATTTTTTGTGTGTGTGTGTCAGTACTGAATTGCCTGTTACAAAAGCTAAATCTATAAGTGGTTCAAGGTTTTTGTGGCTTTTTCTGGGAGAGGGACATGGCTGTTCAGTAGTCCTGTACTGTTTGATAGGGAACAGAAACTGAACAATCAGTTGTGGAGAGTTCCTAGCTTAAGTGCTATGAACTGGAGGCAGCAGCTAATTAATTTAGTAATACTAATTTTATATTTTGTGTTTTCTAGCTAGATGAAGAGATCTCAGGAGTTATTGAAGTCGTTGGAAGAGTAACAAATCAAGCAACCATTATGTGCATGTCATATGTCCAGTTCAGAGAAGATAAAAGTCCATTTGGTAAGTAAGAATATACATTATAATGTTCATTTTGAGTTTGTATTTAGTTCTTGAATAAGTAATTAAGACAGGCTGAGAGAGTTGGGCTTGTTCAGCCTGGAGAAGGCTCCAGTGAGACCTGGTAGCAGCCTTCTAGTACCTAAAGGGAGCCTACAAGAAAGCTGAAGAGGGACTTTTTCAAAGGCGTGCAGTGACTGGACAAGGGGGAATGGTTTTAAACTGAAAGAGGGTACATTTAGATTAGACATTAGGAAGAAATTCTTTTTTATGAGAGTGGTGAGACCCTCAAACAGATTGCCCAGAGAAATTGTCACTGCCCCATCCCTGGCAGTGTTCAAGGCCAGGCTGGATGGGGCTTTGAGCAACCAAATCTAGTGGGAAGTGCCCCTGCCCATGGCAGGGGGGTTGGAACTAGATAAGCTTCAAGGTCCCTTCGAACCCAAATTATTCTATGATTCTGTAAGTAAAAAGGGAAACCTTGTTTATCTTTGCTTATGGACAAGGTCTTTCAAGCTGCCAGATGTGCAGTAAAATGTGGGAAAGTTGAGTGTCATGGGAAAAATCCTGCACAAAATATACCATTTTACTGTCAAACTAGGGACTGACTTGAAGTTGGGAGCCAGCCTAGATAATTCTGATTATTCTCTCACTCCTGACCACGTGGTTCTTGCATTACACTGGACCTTGTGTGATTGTACAGCTCGCAGACCTAAAACTAACCTTCCAAAAAGCAAGCAATGGGAGGTTGCTGCCTTGGAGAAAACTGGGGAGGATGAGGGGCTCTGGGAACACTTAGCTAGAGTGTTTTGAAATAAGCAGAGCTTTAATGCTCTCATTTGCTTGTGGGGAATTTAGCTTACGCATCACAACAATTTTCTTTGCCTTCTTTCAGATCTGGAACTATACGATGAAGCACTAAAAATTATTCATGAATTCCCTGAATATTACCCATTTGGTACTGAGAGGAACACTTGATTTTTCTTTGCATACATTGACAGCATGGTAACAGTTGAATTTATTTCCCACCAATACACTGAAAAGATGCTAATACATGCGCCACGTATTGCCACTGAGGAATGATTTCTTTGCAAATGTATTTGTTCAGCAAGGAGAACACTTTTGCGGCTCTCTCATTGTCTGTATATAACTCTTTTGCACCCTTGAGGGGTGTTCTCTTGCAGGATTGGTCTTGCTAGAAACTGAAGTTTTGTAACCAACTTTGTGTTGTTATTGGTAAAGGTTACCTTTTTACAGGAAACTTGTACTGAGGACATTTGGTGGGGGTTTAATGTAAAGATCTTTTTTTAGTCTCATTTGCTTTGGTATAAAATCTTTTGAACACAAGGGGTATTTTGCATCTTGGAAATGGTCTCCAATAAAAAAGTGGGCTTTTTCAGTGATATGTGGTGACTCCTGTTTTAGCAGACACAGGTAATTTTAAGAAAGTCGAGTACGAGGTACTTACTCTTGCTCTGATGTTAAACAACACTTGGAAGATGTCTAGGTAGGCTTGGGGATTTCAAGTGCAGTTGACTTTCCATCACAACCTTTGTTTTTGGTGGGAGTCTAAGTGATGACTTAACCATGTAAACTTCCAAACACATCCCAATTTTCTTATTATCCAGGCTATTTACAGCACATAGCAGAATTCTTACAGCTCTTGCGGTAACACAGTCAAAGGAAAATCTAACTTTGGAAATATTCTCTGTGAATTAATGAAGTATTTCATTGTATTTTAACTAAACCTTTTCTACAAAGAGGTTTCAGGTTTAACAGCTAGAGTTAGTGCCTTACACAGATGGCTGGCTTTGTGCTTATTTATACACATCTGTGTTTTCAGTCAAGGAACTTATGTTTCAACGGTTACTTATTAAAGTTACTACAAACTGGGTGGATGATCAAGATAACAGATGATTCCTCCCCCCCTCCCCACCCTTTACTCAGAAGACAAGATAATGACAAAGTTACTGCCACTGGGAAGGAAACATCTTTTCCAACTTGGTTGATTCTACAGTTCTATGAAACCTGAGTCAGTCTTGTACAGCAAAAAAGAACATAAGGTCAGCATGGCATGAAGCCATGCTCTGTCCTGTAGCACTATTACCACTGTATTTTAGTGCTCAGTAGGAAAAAAAAGTCATTTTAGTAACTGTGTGTATGTTTTCCTAGCATTTAAAAGTCTTTGATTCTACTTTAGAAAACTGGTATTTATGCTTGTACATATATTCTGTAAAATGTTACATGCAGTTACCAAGCAAACATCATCCAGGCCTGATAAACCAGTCTACCATTAGATGGCTACACCACTTCACCCCCCCCACAGAGACCATCCTTGGATGGGTGGGCCTGTGTGTAAATGTTTTAATGAATCCAAGTGGGAAATGCTCCAGTTTCTTTTTGTTGGTCAACACTCTTACTTACACAGTCATGCAACAATGATATGTGGCTAGGCAAGCAGTGTACAACTTCAAGTTTCCACTACATGCTCTTCATCTACTTCTCGATATTCTGGCAAGGGTTGTGAATAAACAGCCTACCCTGGCTATATATAGCTGTACCAGTAAGACAGCAATGCAAGGAACTGTGAAATATTCTTGATGTTAAAATAATGCTCAGGTCACATATGCATTTATCAGGTGTGGGAAATTGCCAGTCATTCCATGTATCGAGGGGAAAGGAATAGCCATGGAGCCTGCTGTCTGGAGGATGGCACTAACAAGGTGAAGGTGTGAGAAACTGCTACAGCTGGTAGATAGTAAATTGGGAAGTAGTGGCTTCATGTGTTACTGACCAGAGGGGAGTCACCAGAGCAATTCTATCACAAACACAGAAGAGGTGTGTCACCAAAAACAGGACAGCAGAAGATCCAGTAATGGAAGGTATAAACAGGAGTCAGCAGTTGCTTTGGGAGGATGTGGGTGTGATAAAGGATGGGAATCTGGGAGAGTATATCAATGATGTAACAGGGCTGACTGGGAGAAGTTCCTGTCATTTGTAGCACAGCAGTGAGCCTGCAGCTCCCACACTTGTGACGGATCTTAGGGACCTGGCTTTTTCCCCCTGCACTTCCCAAGCGAAGGTTTGGAGCAGCCTTCCTAACCTTGGCATGTGGAACAGTGCCACACTGCCTTCTCCTGTAACATCTGGGAGAGTTGGCAGGATCCTAATCTAAGGAAACAACTAGAAAACACAAATGTGGTACAGAAAGGGTGTCTGCCAGAGGACAGAAATTCCCTTGTAGTGAGGATGCCCAGGGGAAGGCACCGGAATGCAGCAGTGCATCATGCACTAAGCTCTAGGGCTGCGCGCAGGTGAGGTGAAACCTCATGTGGGATGTCACTGCATACTTGCCTGGCAATCACTAAACTCCTAGATGACCCTGGTCACCATCATCAGGACTGCTCCACTGTCCTTGCTCAGGCGCGGACACATGTACAACTCACACTGTACTCAAATGCAAGCATCCTGTGCATACAGTGAGGAAGTGCTTGTGCTTAATCAGGGAAGGGAGGCAAGGCCGGAGCATATAATGAAATTAAAATACAGAAATGTAACCAGCATGAACCACAGTGTCAAACCATGTTGGCACACAAGGCCACTTTTACCTAATTAACTGAGATTTAAGCAGATATCAAAACAGTAAATGTAAAAGTAACTGCAGCTATTAAAATGTCTGGAGCTATCATTTTTGTTAGAAGACAATAGATCACCCCCCAAATCACAGCTTTTTAAATGTAAAAGCAAAACCACCAAAAAAAAAAAATCATTAAAAAACATACACCTCTACTTCGTAAATAGTGGAATTACTTGTCTGAGAGCCTGATCACCAATTACAACAGCCAAAACTGGTAGTTATACTGTACTGGAATATGGATACAAAACCTTTCAAAGACATGCTGAGTATCAAAGCAAGCACCTAGTTTAATGAAATGACAGAATTTGACATGAACAGGTACAGTCAAGTTGAAAACATTACAAATGAGTTTTTCTTTTCATAAAAAGATGAGACAATGTAAGTTAATAGTTGTGTTCACCTGGACATGGAAATATCAGGAAAATTTACTACATGTTGTTACTACAGAGAAATAAAAACATATTCTTGACACTTACAAATCCTCATTTCCATAAAGCAGAAGTTTTATTGCCTGTATTTATATAAATAGGGTACGATACAGTAAACCCCAGGTTACATTTATAAATGGAGAACATTTTGAAGAGTTCTTCAACAGCAACATGAAGTGTGCAAATATACTGGAAAAGGAAATAAATACTCCCAACAAGAAAAAAAAAAAAAGTAACTGCTCTCCCATGCCTACAAATATCAAGTACCTCTTAGATTTTAGCTTAAAAAAGATCTTTGTCAATTAGGCAAGAATTTTAGATCAGAATAGATGCAGAAGACGTATTACAACATCAGCGCTAAACCATAAGACACAACCCAAAGCCCTGAATGGAATTGTGTACATCTGCAGAAAACACTTCTACATTCTATCATGTTGCAACTGCACTAGAGCACTTTGAACTAGTGGTATATTACAATATATTCTCTTTTAAAACAGCCATTTTCACAGTCCTGGCAATACAGTACCAGTTTATTGCTAGCATTCCATTTAGTATTTTGTAGTACGCAAGTGTTAAGTAACTCATATACTGTTTCTATCAGTAAATAAACACACACCAAGTAAACTGATGTTATTATCACATACCTTAAAACAGGTTTTTTTTTTTCCCCCTAATTTGTGTGAATTTTGTTGCCTATAAAATTAAGGACAACAATACCAATCAGCTCCTAGAACAGCATTAGCAAAATAGCACTGTATCTCTCTCAAGTTAATAAATAAGCCTAATTCCAGCTGGTAACATCTAGGACTACTTTGGTTCAATGACCTAAAATTGTGCCGCCATTATGGAGCAGACTGGTATCCGCTAGTGACCAGAAGCAGGATTTATATAGGTTCATTTCACACTTCCCAGCATATTTCAGAAGTACAGGGAAATGCTGACTATTCAAAAGTCCTCAAATACATTTGAAGACAAAATTCAGCATGTAGTTTAAAACTTAAATATTTACAAGTCTCCAGTCCTTGAGACTTCAGATCTTCACAGTACTACATTAAAAAAATAATCAAATGAAACCTCCCCCCAGTTTACCTGCACTCTGCACTGAAACAGACACGTGGCTTTTCAGGGAACTCTTCTCTGGGATAGACGTCACTAGGAAACAAACCCCCAATTCTTTAGCATTAAAATTCACATCAGCTAGGTATGTAGGTAAATGAAGACCTTGAACTGCAAACATGCTGCTTTACTATTAATAAAATGTGGGAGCAGAAAGAAATTGATTTCTCTTTAAAATAAGTCTTCAGAGTACAATTAACAGTGGCACTTTGAATGAACTTTCAAGGAAACTCATTTGCATACAAGAAAGTGTGATCAAATAATGGAAGAGTCACTGCATCTTGTGAAGAACACTTTTGAGGTGTTTATTTTGAAGGCCCACTTTCACAGCATATAAACACTGGTTTGTTTGGAAAACAAATACAAGGGCCGACCAGCACTACCCTGAAAGCCTTTTTATTAAAAGTTCTTCAGATTTCAGGAAATCCAAAGAGTCCATAATTCCAGGAGTGCTTTTGAGCTGAACTGTTTCAATCCTCTGAAAAAGGACCACATACCACACCCAGAGGCTCATTTCACAGATACCTGCCTCTACCAAGCACAGTCATACACACAGCATTTTACTATACTAACCCGATAGCAATTTATTTTTTCAGAGTCAGGAAGTGACCTTTGTCATAAAATATATGCTTGGGCTATGATGGAGATCCACAAGAAAACTTCACGTTTTCAAGCAGTATTTATGCCTGGAGAGTCTCTGCTGGAATGAGATTCCCTGTTGTATCCAGCTGCATACACTTACAAGAGCAGGCAGAAACTGGGCACTCAGTATGGTCCCTGGATAGCAACAGTAGAAAAAAGAAAAAACGGGTAAAATAAAATTAACAGTAATTTTGTAATCTATTACAATTTGTATGTGCAAGGGCACATACTTAATTGTAGCTCAGAAAAACTCAGCATCATAACGAAGTTTTGCACATGTTCTAAACCAACAAAACATGATAATAATAGATACAGCAAAAGAGGCATGTCCTGCTCAATGCAGCACAGACATGGGAAGGAAGAAAGATTTTAACATCAGCTTACCTGAACCAGCTAAGCATGTGCCCAGCATGTCCACCATGCCTACAGTTGTGGCACCAAGTAAACCAGTTGTTGAACTGGGCTAATTTCTTGTCTTTGCTGAGATCCACCTTTTCATCTGACTTGGATCCTCCTGTGCAGAAACAAACCCACCACCCCAAACATGCTCGTAAATCATTATGCTTCTTTTATATTTCAG